CTCTTCTCTCCTCTTCTCTCCTCTTCTCTCCTCTTCGCTCCGCTTCCCTCCTCTTCCTTCGCTCCTCTTCCCTCCTCTTCCCTCCTCTTCGCTCCTCTTCCCTCCTCTTCGCTCCTCTTCCCACAGCTAGAAATAAGATAGGCAAGGTTAGAAATAGGAGGTACAAGGTCAGAAATAAGACGGACAAGGTGGGAGAGAAGATTTGGCAGCGAAACCAACGTTGAAAAAAAGACACAAGGTTAAAGAAAAGAGAACTAGGTTAAAAAAAAAAATACCCCCAGTTTTGGTGTGTAGTTCAGTATGGTGACAATAAGGAACCATGAGGAACATTAGGGCTTAGAGCTTAGGCCTTAATCATTGGAATAGGGTTTGGTATATCGTTCAATTGACTATAATAACAAGGAGCCGTGATGACGAGAATAAGGGGTTGTTTCAGCATGAACATTAGGGCTTAGGGCTTACGGCGTATCGGGCGTTGTAGGGTTTGTGGTTTTATGCGGCTGTATAGTTGGGCTGCATTGATACAGTAGAGACTTGCAGGCAGAACCTTGCAGAAGAAGGTCTCCGACACCCTCACCCCGAACTCCAAATCCCTAACCCTTGGCCCTGAACCCGAATAGTCCCATATCCATCCTACACTGCAGCCCCGGTTGCTAAGCCCCGAACCCCACATGCCTGATCGCTCAACGAGTCTAATCTTAATCCCGACTCACTTAAACCATCCCAGGTCCTGGATCCTAAGCCCAAATCCTTAAACCCCTAATCCCTACATCCCAAATCCACTGCAACCGGATGTCACTCTAAATCTAAACCCCCCGCCCGAAACCCAAAACCCAACACCCTCAACCACCCCCGCCCCCCTCCCGAAAAGAAACACATCTTGTAACCCACATTGCTCAGTCCAACCCCCTAGCCCCTAAACCCTCCAGCCCCAAACCCCTAAACCCTAAACCCCAAATGCGTCAACCCAATCCCTGCTGCACGTCGAAAGAGAAACTAGGCACATGGGTTAAAGGAGAGGGGGTTTAGGCCTTGTGACCTATGCCCAGGCGGACGTCCACGTTACAGTGTTGTTTTGGGGCTATGTGCTATGTAGTACAGGTAATATGCGGTCCTGTGAATCCTAAGCCCTAAACCCAAAACCCTAAACCTTAAGCCCTTTTAATTCCAAGCTGAATTCACAGCTCGAAAGTCTCAGGCCCTAAAGCGTCGTTTGGCCAGAGCTGCGGGTTTTGGGCTTCTCCAGACGCTTCGATAGACCCTAACCTCTAGGTTTTTGTTGGGGCTCACTCTTGATCAGGGCTTGATGAGGGGATGATGGGGGTCGAAGAGTTGGGCTTTCAGCACGCCTTCTACAAGCCCTTGGTTGTGGAACTTGCAAGAAGTCGTCCCTTTTGTGCTAAGTTCCGAGGTTCGAAATCTGAAACCCGGCGCCCCCAAGCTCTGAACCCTACACCCACAGGGTCCTAAGTACGTTGTATAGTAGAATGCAGGGTTACTATATTAGGATGATTTGGGAAGATATTCCCCCATAACAGCACCCAGGACTCCTTGGGAGTGTAAACCGCCAGCAAATCCTGAACACTGATTCCTGGAACCTGGGCTTGGGCCTAATTGTCGCTACCTGCAAAGATGTAACGGTTTAGGGTTTGGGGTTTAGGGTTTGGGGTTTGGTGTTTACGGTTTGGGGCTTAGGGTTTGGGG